TCTGTGCCCCGGGGATATTTATTATCAGTAAGTTATTGTTTGTAAGCCCTTTGTGGGAATACAACTAGTATACATCAGACAAGTTAGATAATAACAGTCAAAAGTTAAACTATTTTAGGATATTGATTTACTTTCTTTTTAAATCCATACATAGAATCCCATTTCTTTCTTTTTCTTTTTCATTTATTCTTCTATCATATATCACAGCTGTAGTTTCCCCTTCCTCCTTTCATCCTAGTCTCCCCAGATCCACTCCTCCTCCTTTCCTTTCAGAAAAGGGTGTGTCTCCTAGGGATATCAATCCAACATGGCATATCAAATTATAATAAGACTGGGAATAGGCAAACCCAGTTGGAGGAAAAGGGTCCCAAAAGCAGATAAAAGAGTCAGAGACAGCCTCTGCTCCCACTGTTAGTAATCCCACAAGAGGGGCAAGCTAACCAACCACAGCATACATGCAGAGAACCTAGGTTAGACCCATGCAGGCTTCCTGATTGAAGGTTCAGTTTCTATGAGCCCTATGAGCCCTGGTTAGTTAATTCTGTGTTTTCTTGTGGTGTCCTTGACCCCTATGGTGCCTACAATCTTTCCTTGACCTCTCTGCAGGATTCCCTAGGCACCACCTAAGGATTGGCTGAGGGTCTCTGCATCTATTTCCATTAGTTCTGGATGAAGCCTCTCTGAAGACAACCGTGCTGGTATCATTAGGAATCACTTCATTGACCCGACACCCCCAGTCTGGTTTAGTTCTATCCTAGGTCTTTGGGCCATCCAGCCTCTGGTACTTGGCAATCCAGGTGGTGTCAGATGTGGACTCCCTCCCCTGGGCTGAGCCTTAAGTTGGACCAGTCACTGGTTAGCCACTGCCACAAGTTCTGTGCCACCATTATCACAGCAATTTGAAGGCAGGACAAATTGTAGGTTGAAGGTTTTGAAGCTGAGTTGGTGTCCCAATTCCTCCATGGAAATCTTACCTGGTCACAGGAGGTGGCTGGTTCAGGTTCCATGTCCCCCACTACTAGGAGTCTTCAATAGGGTCACTGTCATAGATTCCAGGGAGTTTCCAGTACACTAGGTTTTGACACCACCCTCAAATGCACTCTAATTCCAGTCATTTCTCCTAGCTCTCTCTCTCTCTCTCTCTCTCTCTCTCTCTCTCTCTCTCTCTCTCTCTCTCTCTCTCTCTCTCTCTCTCTCTCTCTCACTCTCTGTCTCTCTCTCTCCCAATACCACCTGACTCCTCCCCCCCCCCCCCCCGTTCCTATCCCCCACAGTCTTCCCTCAGCCCTTACTGTTTCTCCTGTACAGGGTGATCCATAAGTCCTCTCCTGAGCCCTCCTTGTTACTTAGCCTCTTTAGGTCTGGGGATTGAAGCACATAGAATCCCATTTCTCTTTCTTTTTTTATTTTTTGTTGGTTTGTTTGTATTTGTTGTTTGTTTTTTTCAAGACAGGGTTTCTCTGTGTAGCCCTGGCTGTCCTCAAACTCACTCACTCTGTAGACCAGGCTGGCCTTGAACTTAGAACTCAGAGATCTGCCTGCCTCTGCCTCTGCTCTTGAACGCTGGGATTAAAGACATGCACCAACACCATCCATGGAATTCCATTTCTTAAAGTTGCAGTAAGTGATAAAATTATATGATCCCGTATCTACATTCTGAATTTTGTTGTGCATATAACAGATTGATGCTAATACTATCATTAACATGGGTACTAAAATTTCTTTTAAAATTCTATATACTGTATTCCCACTTGCTGTGTAGACCATCTATATTTTCAGGTAATAAGGGGTTAGTCTACTCTTCACTTCTTGTCAGTAGGTCTTGGAAATCAGTTTTATGCCATCATCTCCCCCCAAAACTTGGCTGTTGGAAGCTCATTCTGTACAGATTCTTTAGCACTGCTTGCAAAAATTTCCCAAGTTCTTGGATGACAGTAACATTTTTTATTTCTTTCTTTCTCTCTTGGTGTGTGTGTGTGTGTGTGTGTGTGTGTGTGTGTGTGTGTAGAGAGAGAGAGAGAGAGAGAGAGAGAGAGAGAGAGAGAGAGAGAGAGAGAGAGAGAGAAAGAGAGTTCCAGTATTTTGTTTGAATATCTTATTTTATTCCGGTCTCAGGGGTTACTGTGGAACAGAACAGAATGACAGTTTCCATTCTCCTATAAATCAAATGCTATTTTTTCCAAACTATCCAGAGACTCAAATAATTTATTTTCCCCACTGTTCAAAGATACACCCTCTCCTCCCGAATGTTTCTTTGTGCTGGTTTTTCTGAGTCAGTATTTTCAGTATTTATTATACTATCCCAACATCTAGTTTTAAATCATTTTATTATTAGCATTATTATTTAGTAAAGTTTTCTTGATTTATGTTTGGGGTATTTGTTCTTTTGGTTTGACTTTTTTCTCCTGCAATTCTGATCATTTCCAACACCTTCCATTCTTACCTCATTGTCTTTTTTTCAGTATCTGTTACTTTCTCTCGAATGCTCTATCCTTACAAAAAAATTTATTTTTGTATACATTTTTTTTGACCAGGGCTTGGCGGCACAAGTCTGTAACTCCAGTAACTCCATCCTCTTGGGAGGCAGGCAGAAGCAGAACAGCAAATTCAAGGCCTTTCTGGGCTACTGAGTGAGTTGGAGGCCAGCCTGAGCAAGACCCTGTCTTAAAACAGTACAAAAGGTGTTGAGAAATTGCTCAGAGGTTCAGCACCCACCTCACATTTGAGTACTCTGACTTCAGTGTACTTTCCACAGTTCTGAGATATATGATTTTTCGTTCTTGTTTTCACATTATTCTCCACTTACCTAGGATCATTTATCTTTAAAATTTTTCCTGAGTTCTATCACTTCTTTCTTTTTGGGGTTGCCAACCAGCTCAGGAATCAAGACACGGAGACTTCTTGTTATGCATGCTAGGCCTTATCTTATGCTCACTTTTTGCTAGTTCTTAAAACATAATCTAACCTATTTCTCTATATCTACCTTTTGCCTTGGAACTACTTTCTTTCCTCCTGTATATCTTGCTTTCACTGCTTCTCCATGGCTGGCTAGCAGCTGACTGGCTTCTGGTCCCTGGCATGTTCCTTTCTTTTCTCCTGCATTCTCTTTTATATTGTTAACAAAGGCAGCATAAACAAATGTAACACATCTTTGCCTAGTTAAAATAATTTTCCACAACATTATGCCTACGGTTTTGTAATTAAAATTCTTTACATATATCAAGCTTTTCATTTCTTTGATCTTGTTTATAATAATAGATCACTGACAGGAAAAGACACTGCCAAGCACCAAGACCAGATAGAGCTCAATCCCCGGCACCTATGAGATGGAAGGAGAGACTGATTCCAACAGGTTGTCCTATGACCTCCACCTTATGCTGTGAACTCATGCCCACTCCATCCCCACATAAGCAAATGTAAAAGCTGTTTTTAATTAAAATAACAGCTCATTATGTTGTTGTGCCCTCATAATCTGTAGCAATGTTTTCCTGATGTACTTTCCTTTTGATGAATTTGTATGGATTTTGCCTTCAGAATTTACTGCAGCTAATTTTCACGCATTACTTATTTTTTTTTGTTTGCAATCAGACAAGGTTTAGAAAAAGTTTGCCAACTTCACAGAGCCTAGTCTTAGTTTTTATGAAGTGTTGAGAAACTCAGCAATGTTTGGGGGTGGGGCTTCCCTTCCTAAATGAGCACATGGAAGTATGGCTACTGCTACCAAGAAGGTAAAATGTAAATTTGTAAACACTCTTTAGATATTTCAATTAGAATTTAAGTAGCTACATGCAGTTAGTGCCCACCAAACCGGATACTATTTTATTCATTGTCTGTTTCCTAGTGCTCACTGTTGACCTCTCAGGAAGCAGTTTTCTATTATGGATCTTTACTAAGGAGGGAGAGAGAGAGAGGTAGATAGGGGAGAGAGGGAGATGAGGGAGAGAGATGAGGGATGGAGAGAGGGAGGGAGATGAGGGATAGAGGAAGAGAGGGAGGAAGGGAGGGAGGGAGTCCTGAGTCCTAGTTATTAGTTTGGAGATAGTGCAAGGGCTAGATGCCCTCAACCCCTTGAAATTTCAGCTGCCTAGAAAAACAAAAGAAAAACAACAAAAAACAAAGAAGCAAAAAAAAAAACTGTCCTGAAATTCTTCATGACATAAGACCAGAGAACATCCCAGCTACCCTGTCTACCAGCCACTATTCCATTATTTCTTCCCTTCCCCACAGCAGAACTGTTTATACATGCCAATGCCTCTTGATGTCTTGGCCTCATCTCTTGAGTTTTGCTGTTTATGAAATAATTTCTTACCTGATTTTACTACATGTCGCCCTTGGACTTTTGGTAACTAGCTGATCAGTTTTTACACTGGGTTCATCAGTGTACATTTTCAAATACAGTAAATATTACACTGTTACTGGCTTGTCTTCCTCAAATCCTTTAGATCATGTGTTATTGACATAAGGTTTTTCCATTAAGGAATATATCATATACATCATGGGATATGTTTTTAAAGGAAGAAAGACCGTTGACTCACCCACCAAAGACAAATCACTCCTGACATTTTATATAGTTCTTTTGTGACTCTTCTCTGTGAGTGTTACTTTTTTTTTTCATGGTTGTGAAACTATTGGATAAACAATTCCATGTTCCCCTTGTTTCTATGATGTAACTGTTACAAAAATCCCCAACTACCATAGTTTCATAGCTGTGCTAAATCTATTTACTATGTGGTTCATCCATTACTGGCTAGTCAAGCTCCAGTGTTTAGGCAGTTTAAAAAGCATTCAACATGACTGTTCTGAGATATATTGGAACCTGTTTTCTATTGAAGTATGTCTCCTATAGGACAGCCTGGAATGTATCCAAGCTGCTAATGAGCAATAATAGCCATAGCAGGCTCACAGAGACATTCCTGTGACAAATGTCAAGCAATGATTAACTTCAATGTGGAGGCGTATGCAGTCCATGTTAACAATTGAGGAAAAAGATGTAGTCATCATTATCTTGAAATCTCACCTCATTTAATTCCAACAACTTTCTAACCATTCTTTATTGTATTTACAGTGTGTTTAATATGTGTATGATTATATGTACACGTGGGCAGAGTAGCTGTGAGAAGGTGCTGGAACCAAACTCAGGTCCCCTGAAGAGCAGCAAGTGCTCTCAATCACCGGTCCATCTTTCCAGCCCCATAGGCATATATTTTTGTGCATGTAGACCTGTGCACGCATCATCTGCATCTGTAACTCCACACCTTTCTGTTGGTTACTAGACCCAGATACCACTGGCCTTGCAAATTTGGTACATATAAAATTGAACTTCTTGGCTTTCTCAATCTTGCTTCCTTGTCTTCCTCTGTTTTATACAGAAGGAAGGTGTTTGATCACTATATCTGCAACACAGCACAGTCCTAAGATGTGAAAAGGAGTCCTAACAGATTTCTTGTCCCCCTAAGTCCAAAATAACCTCCTCTTTAACATCACTGGCAGATCTGTCCAACTCTCCGACGTCACTGCTGCCTCATTTGAGTCTTATACCAGTTCCTGTAGAATGTAGCTGGGATGATTTTATTAACTTTCCCTTCCACTGCTTCGCGTTTGGAGGTGTTCGGGAAATTCTCAACCATTCCTTTCTGTGAGGTCTGTCCTATCTTTTAGTTTGAGCTTCAATTTGTGTGTCCAGCGGAGTCCTCTCCACTAGCATTGGACCAAGCTGATTGGATCAGAGGTCCAAGTTGAGATAACAAGAGTCTTTCTGTTGCCTGGTTTGGAAACCCATTCTGGGTTTTTTGTTTAAACTGAGATGATATCCATCTGTGAGCCGAGGCTGCCTTCTTAGATGTCGGGATGTACAGAGGACAGCTTTAGTAGTAAACGAAGCAAAGCTGATGCAGGAAAAGCAGAGATGAGAGTCCATATGCCCCTGGAGAAGAGCAGTGCTTTTGATTCCTGAGGTCACATAGTGTCTGCATCTGCTTACTGCCAGACATATTTAGCTGTTGAGTTTTGTAACAAACACGTCTCCTGATAATATAATACCATCTTGTTATTTAGTTAACAAACTAGCTCACCCGGATTTCTGTTACTTGCAATCAAAAAGAGGTTTAATTACAACATAAGCTCCAGCCAAACAAAATCCTAGCATGGGACAGTGGGGAGGAGCATTCCACCACTAGCTGAGGAACTATTGGATTTGATAAACTTCTTGGAGAGGAAAAGTCAGTTATCTTTAATGAGCTGATACCTCACCAGAGGCTGAAATGAGATAACCCACTAAGTTTAAGTGGAAAAATACTACATTTGCCTTACATATAGAACACACTCCCCTCTCTTTGTGTGTGTGTGTCTGTCTGTCTCTCTGTCTCTCTCTCTCTCTGTTTGTGTGTATGTGTGTGTGTAAAATCTAAAATATCTGTTTATTTTTTTAAGCACAGACTTTCAAATCCCAGTATACTGACCTCTCTATTTGACTGATATCTCCTCTGCCAGAGGTCATGTGTTTGGCTGATGTTCCATGAGTTTTGTGGTGGAGCCAAGTCAAACATTAACCACAGGACTTCAGTAGGCACAAAGGGAGCTAGGGTTAAATAACATCTGCCCCACAATTCACCAACAACACACTTCCCAGAAGCTACCCATGAGTGTTGTTAAGTGCCCGTCACACTCTATCCTTCTCCATAATTTCACATTCTAGCTAACCCTCCCTGAGTTTCCTTTATGAGTCGTATGGATTTGACTCGTTCACCTCTGTCTGTTCTTTGCCTACCTATTCATCTCCTTTCTGTGCTGGTCCTGGCTTACTGGTTGTCTTCCATATCTTCTATCTAACTTTCCCTTTAGCTGCTGTTGTCTCCACCCATGGCCTTTAATTAACCCAGGTAGGCTGCTAGCTTACCTAAGTCACTGTCCCAGCACAGGCTTTAACTCTTAACTTCCTGTTTGGTGCTTCACTTTGACGTCACAATTTCCACACCTTTCAGCTGTCCATCTCTGCAGTGACGAATGCACAGGTACACAAAACCCTGCCCTGTCCCATACATCTTTTTTTCCTGACTTCCACGGTACGATCATACTAGAGATGCTTGCCCTCTTGCAACCAACTTCATCCAAGCATCAAACCCTCCGGTTCTAGCTCCTTGACATCTCTGCTCTTTAACGCTTAAAAGAATTGATTATGGACTCCCCTAACATTGACCTACCTCATTTTATTTTCTATAAATCATCTGCAAATGATTTACAATGGTCTGGAGTCAGCCGGACGGAAAAGCTCGGTTAGGAGTGAATTCCAGTGCCCTCCTTGCTAATGCTACCCACCCAAAGCAATACTTCAAGGGCTTGCAAGAAAAAGAAGAAAGACAAATTTTGATGGTTAAAAACAAAACGAAAAACTAACACTTCCATATTGTTTTTCTTGGTGTCATCTTGGCTATTTCACACAAAAAGGGGTCCAAGTTTATGTCATAACATTTGCTTAATGCCTTATTTTAAACTGATTTACTGGACATCTGTTAAGCTTTCTGGAAAAGCAGAAATGTTATCAATGCTAGACCCCACCAGAGTGCATTAGCACTTACAAGAGGCAGACTTTGCAGACCACATCTACCAGGTGGTTTGGGAGAATGATTTAGAATGCCTTACTTTGATTGAATACAATGAAAAAAAATGATCACAGTCTATTTTTAGTCATTCCATTGATTGCATATGGAAACCTACTTCTACTAACCCAGTGCTCTGCTAAGCACGATTATTAACAAGTTATCAAGAAAAGCAAGGTGTACAAGGTGTTAGCTAAAGTCAATTTTGAAGTGTTTTAATTGCCAAATTTCCAGAGGTAAAATGAAATGACATCTGGACCCAAGTACCTGCATGCTGTGGGGATTTTATATTTGCTATTGAATATATATTTAGAGAGACAAATACACATGTGTAATGTAGATGCCAGATTAGGGAGTTGTCTGACACCTAGCCATTAACACTTACAACTGTGAGTGGAAACTGAAGGAATTTGCTTGGAGAGATGGTCAGTTGTTAGGGGCTCTTGCTGCTCTTGCAGAGGACCTGGTTTCAGTTCCCAAAGCCCAAGGCAGGAAGCTCACAACTGCCTGTAATTCCAACCCCAGGAGACCCTACCCTTCTTCTGGACTGAATCTGCACTCACAAGTGCACGTGCTCACACAAGCACATAATAAAATTTTTTTCCCGGAAGCAAACGCTTATTTGCCTAAATGCAAACGCTTCTTTCCCTCCATATCCTGGAGAAGTTTCTGTGACTGAAGCAGGAGCTCTGTTTTCAACATGCTAAGGCATTTGGCAGGTACCTCTGCTTTGGCGCCTTCAGTTCGTTCCCTGCAAAATGTGGGAAGTGAATGAATCCCTAGACGGACGCCCCCTCCGCCATTCCCACCTCGTCTCTCTGAGTTGAGGGTCTTCATTGCAATTGCTCTTAAATTATGGTATGAAACGGACTGGGTTCTGGTGGCCCAGGCTTGTGTGAGGCTGGTGTTGGAAACACTGGAAGCAAGAGCCAAGAACTCGCCCTTTTACACTTAGCAGTCACAAAAGGCAAGTTTCTGTTTTCCCGAACAAATACTCCACTTACTTCTGCAGAAGTTCGTGTGAGCCTCAGTTGCTCACAAAACAATATAGCAGTCTTCGTCAGCATGAAAGACGTCAGAGAAGATTCTTTGGCCGTGTTCCGGACTCTGGAGCACTTGGGGATGCGGACATCTCCAGAATTCAACAGTGAAATCAGGCTTGAGGTTCATCCCTGGATTGCCTAAGGAGCTCCATGGCTCCTCTTTGCTCTCAAAATCAGCCAAGAAGTTGGTATTGGGAGGACCACTCCTCTTGACCTGAATCAAAACTTCCGGCGACACACAAACACAACTTACGCAAATGGAAAGGTCTGGGCCTGGTCTTCAGCAGGACGCATGCCTGCCACACCCACCCTGGGGCTAGGCTTTGGAGAAACTGAGTCCGCGGACACCGGGCAACTCCGCGGGGCCCCGCCCCCTCGCGGCCCCGCCCCTCACCTTGCTAGCGCCGTGCCCCGGCCTCGAAGGTGCGTGCGGCGCGCGCTGATTGGCGGCTTCCCGGCGCTGCCCCGCTGCCATTGGCTACGAGGGCCTCTTTGTTCCAGGTCCCAGCCGCAGCCGAACCGGGCTGCGGAAGTTCGAGGGCGCGGGGGTGGGTGGAGTGGCTGCGGCGTCGGCGCCCGAGTGAGTCCCCGCAGCGGAGATCGCGGACGCGGGACCGAGCCCCTCCGACGCCCAGCATGGACCTGGAAACCAAAATGAAGAAGGTGAGTGGCGCGGGCGCGGTCGCTTCACCTGAGCGCGGGGAGCTGCTGGCCCCGTGTTCCCGGGGTCGCAGACGGTAGGCGCGGGGAGGGGACGGCTTCTCCGCGGACCCGAACCCATGAGTGGCTGTCGCCGTGGAGCGGGACCCTGACACCCGCTGTCGCTGCGCCTGAAACTCCGGCAAACCTTTCCGCCACGCCTCCCCCAGAGCCCCAGGGTGAGGTCTGGGCGCTGGAGTCTGACACCGCTTCCTGTCTGGAGAGCCGAAGTGGCTCCGCGAGGTGGCTTTGACAGCCCCGACCTCCTCCTCCCCCGCAAGCCCGGCTGCCCCGGGGCTCTCTAAAGTGGCTGCTGACTAGTGACACTTCCTTCACACCCGCGCCTGCTGATAACTTCTGAAGTGATGACTTTGGGGATCGGGGGGAGTGCGTGTGCTTCACTGATGGCCTGGGTGCCAAAATACGGTCTCCTTCTTGCGGAGTCGGTTCTCGACACGTTTGGCGGCCAGCCGCAGACAGCGGTCCTTGCACGGTGCTGGGGAACACCCTCATGACTGTTGCTGGTATCCAGGCTAATAGCCCTACCTGAGGAGCTCCGGGATTATGGGCGGGGGAGGGGGGGTCTCTCAGGTCGCCTGGGAGAATGGGGGTGGGGACCAGACTATGACTCAAAAGAACGCTGACGTCACGTTCTAGTGTAACATTCGACCTTAAAGGTCTTGTTCCTGGGAATTGCGCCTGTGTACTTGGAAGTACATTTAAGTTAGTGGTCATTTATCAAATAGGGAAGGAAGCTATGCAGAGTATGAAAGAAAAGTTGGGAAAACTTTCTCCCCTTCGTACCTTACAGTTGCCGGTTCATCTTATAAAGGGGAATTTCTATTTTGTGCCCAGAATTGAAATCTTAAGATTGTATGCAAATATGAAGTATGAGGGTAGGAAGCGGTTGGCCAATGAAAATTTTGGACCTAGGAAACACTTCCTTAGTCCCTACTGATTAAAATCAGCACCCAGAGGGGAAGTCAAGAATATGAAATATGTTTTTGTCTCTTCCTGTCTGGTAGTTACTCTCTTAACATTTTTGCTGGTTAGCCATGCTTCCTACTTAGAAAACATTTGATGAACTGTGAAGTATTCTGCTGGTGAACACTGAACTCTTTGAGTTTTAATGTAAGAACTACATTTGTCTCAAATGGGGTGTGTTTTTGGTTAGAAATACTGATTTGAAAACTAGTCTGTAAAAGTGGGAATTCCTTGAGAGGAGGAAGGGATGAGCAGGCAAATCAGAGGCTTCCTAGGCTAGTGACTCTGCTGTGTGTAATGCTGCCCTGGTATATGTTTGCCAGACCCCACAGGACATAAGAAACTAGAAGTGAACCCTAATGTGGAGTCTGAACTTGGGCAATAGTGACATGCCAGTGTGTCTCCTAAGTGGCCATTTCTGAAGCACAAGGCTGAGGAGGAGGAGGTGGCCTGCACATGTGGACACAGAGACCACTGCAGAAGTGTGCTCCTGCTCAGTTTTGCTGTGAACAAAAATACTAGCTTTTAAAGTATTCTATTTAAAAAAAACCTCTTTGAGACAATAATTCTCACAGGAAAAGTCCAAAGTTAACAAGTATTTCTGCTTGCAAGGGAGTAGAAAAATGCAGATATTCATAAGCACTTTCCTGACGTCTGGGGTATAATAAATAATTCGTTTGAAATGTGGCATAGCTGCCCTCCTCCATCCTCCCTTTTCCTTTAAAAGGATGTCTTTCCAACCAAGTGCCTTAGCCATCTCTGGGAGCTTACTCCTTCCCATTCCATGTCAAGAAGAAAGATTTAAAGAAAATGCAATAACATCAATAAATCCTGTTTTATGATGCTGTCACTCTGGGAGATGCTCAGAGGGCCTCTGTCAGTAGATGATAAAGACACCCCAACAGTGTCCCATTTGACTGCCAGCCATGTCCTAACCTAATTTTTGAATGGATTAGATAAAAGATTGCTAGTGAAAAACACTTTGAGATTCTGGGAGTCCATTTTACACTTTAAGAAATCTCAAAAGAAACATGTGTTTAGGAATTGTTTTATTTAGAAGTTGCTTTCTAGCACATCTAAAGAAATAGTGTAAGATTCTCTGACTCATCTTCAAGGCTTCTCACCTCATTGTCACATCTAGATAACTGTCCCATCGTCCTAGGTTACACAAGAAAAGCCATAATTTGAATGTACCTTCAAAACAAAGGCAGTTTGGAAACGGAAATATACAAACATTTAAATAAAAACCAACTTGTAGCTTAGAAGTGTGGTATTTTTTTCCTTTCCAAAGCCCCTTGCATTTCATTGTTGACTCCAAAAGGAATTTTCCCCAGGCAGATGGAAAAGGTTATTTCCCATTAACATTTCCTGTAAAAAAAATTAAAGAGAAAAGTCTTTACCTTTCAGTGACCTAGGTGAGTTATACTAGTTTAAGAGTTTTGGTTTATAAAATGAGCGATTTCTCCATGAACCTGCCCTTGGGTTGATTAGCAGTTCATTAGACATCACTATCCCAGGCTCTCTGGGTTTCATAATTGCTGTTTTGCTGTATTTTGTTTTGTTTGAAGCAAGTGAGCTGTTGCTAGGTTGAGGAAGCTGGTTTGTCTACACAGAGTTTTGTTTTAACAATATTTTAGATGAGAATTTGACTTTTATGTTCACACCCTGCCCTCTGAAGCCCTCAGCTGGACCAAGTCCATCCCTGCGTCTTGCATCCCTTTTACTCTGTGTAAGTAAAAATCTGTGTCTGATTGCAAAAGTAAACAATGGCTCTGAGAGGTAGAAACAGCCTCATTTTCATGGTAAATTATGGCCCATCACCAGCTGTTTTCCTTTGGACTTGCTCTCTCTTGGAGAAAAATCAACTTTTATTCTTCAAAATATACCAAAGAGAAAGACTCCAGCAACTTCCGGTATACCACCTAGAATTGTTTGCCTGGGTTTAATTTTACTGCATTTTGTAAACCTCATTTTTAAAATCTATCATAATATCTCACATACTTTTCTTGAAACTTTTTGTTTCTTTAACTTTACTTTAAAAAAAATAAAATACATATTAGATATGGAAGACCACAAACAACAAAAAAAAGTCCCTGTCTGCATTCAGGTTTGTTTAAAAAGCTTTAGTTGTTATCCAAAAGTAGATAGTAAGTCCAAGTGACAGGAGCTGGAAAAGCTTCAGAACCACAGAGATTTTTGCATTGGAAATGAGAATTAGCCTTTTCTCACAGGTAGCCCCTAGTTAAGTGAAGAAAGCAAGTGTGTGGGAATCTGGGTCCTGAAATCTAGTTAGCTTCTCTGCATGAAGTCTTTCTTGGTATAGGAAACTGTTGAGAAAAAAAAAACTACAACTCTCAAAAGGAAGAGAGAGCAAGAGAAAGGAAGGAAGGGAGGGAGGGAGGGAGGGGCAAGAAAGGATGAGAAAGAAAAAAACAAAGAGAAAGAAAATGAGAAAGAGTGAGTTTATTCTGGAGCCATTGTGAGTGACCATGACTCAGGAATACAGATAGACGTTACCCTATATTCCATGTTCCAACATGGAAGCAGTTTCACGACATTTTATATCTTTATAGTACAAAGAAAGTCATAAGTGAAGGCAAGTTTAAAATACATCAGAGATGCAATCATATCAAGATGGGGGAGGTTTTCTGTAGGCCCAAGATGCAAGATGCTGTCTGATGACATCATGTTGAGAGGTTTTTTTCTAGGCCCAAGATGCAAGATGCTGTCTGATGACATGCTTAGCTTTTGAGTTGGTAGAAGCTAGTCATCTGCTAAGTTAATTGATTCCTAATGGTTTAGGTCTATTGTTAGTTCAGACTCAGATGGGCTGGGAATGACTGTTGGAGAGGACTAGAACTAGCCCAAGGTGAGGTAATTAGCTTCGGGGCCTCCCACATTCCATTCCACTGTACTCATAGCTCAAGAGTACAGTGTATCATGGGGGAAGAGTCAATGTATGTGGGGCTTGATGGAGTTGGTTATAGCAAATCCACAGTCGGGACACAGAGAGCTATGATACACATTGCTGCTCAGCTCCTCTTTTCCGTATATGCAGTCTAAATACAAGCGTAGGGAAATGGTGCTACCTTCCTACCTTAATGGACCAAACAAAGATGATCACCTGATGGCATGCTAAGAGGCCAATCTCCCAAGTGATTTTAGATCCCGTTAAGCAGACAGTGAACGCTCATAGTCACAACGATGCATACCCTACTGAATAACATTGTTTATGCAATGTTCGTATTCCAAGTTCAATACTAAATCTTATGCATTCTCCAAGGTCTGTCTTATTGTAACTAATCCACCTCTCCTAGGAACCCCCCTCCCATTTTCCTACCTACACAGAAAATCGTTGACTCTAAATTCCCAAGGCGTGTTTCTGTAACTCTTAAAAATAGTCAGTCTGTAGCTTGCAAATGCATTTGTAGCTTTACCTTTTCACCTAGATTTTAAGCTTGAGAAATAAATTTAGATTTTATAAAACTTGACTACTCTGATTGTTGTTCAAAACATCCTATGGGGGCCATAGTCCCATTTTGAAGACTGAGAAACCTCAATTCAGATTACTTAGTCTGAAAATGAAGAACCTTGCTATGAACTTGAGCCATCATCTTAGAATTCATGTTCCTTTTATCATTCCACCTACCTTTTGAGTCTTCTATCACCCAGCTTATTCACCATATTGAAAGTACCTATATCATACAAGTAAAGTATGATTCATTTGGACAATCTTACTTGCTTATTTAAGGAAACTATATTTGTCTGGGCAATGGTGGCACATGCCTTTAATCCCAGCAATTGGGAGGCAGAGGGCAGGAGGAACTCTGGGTTTGAGGTCAGCCTAGTCTTCAGAGCCAGTTCCAGGACAGCCAGGCCTATACAAAGAAACCCTGTCTCTCGGAAAAAAACAAAAAATAAATTATATTTGAAGAAGTGATTTCCATACCAATAAAATTACCAACTAACCGACTGGTTTT